TTTCATGATTTAGTTGAAGCTCACATGATCTTTTCATTGAAACAGGCACTTATGTAGGAACACAGTGAGTGAGTGAGTGAGTTGGGTTTAACGCCGCTTTTAACAGTATTCCAGTTATATCACGGCATGTCAGCTTAATGTGGGAGGAAAGCCCGAAGTGATGCAGGTCTCAGACGTTTACCACTTCGTAGAACACACGAGCACGGGTATGGTGCTGACAAACCTAGAAACATAATCGGGGCGAATCGGGATTCGAATTCACAATCATAGGTTTCTGGCGTGCCCAAGGGACTTAACTCTACACAGCGAATCGCGGCGCCTTAGACGACTGGGCCACCCGTGCCCCCGTAGCAACATAGACTTTGTAGGATTTGTAAAACTTATTGTATTGAAGATATGAAAATCACTTTTTTTTTGTATGTCCAATGTATAATGATTTAAGAGTAAAATATCTAGATAACTATTTCTAACACAAACCCAAATGGTAACAAATTCTGTAAATTAATGACATGTGATTGTAAGGAAACTAAGAGAATTTTTTCTATGTTTATTTATCATGGTATGAAGCTAAGAACATGTATGAATTTGTAAGACCCCCAGAGAATGTGCTATAGGCTTTTGGCCTCATCAGAACCATGTATGAAGATTGATTGATACTCATATACGATACCTGTTACCGTGAAGATCTGACGAAATCTCAAGTGAATTCTGAGCGAATTTTGACCACCCAATTAAATTGAAGGAAGTTTTGGTTTCTCAGCCAATCAGATGTCAGCTTTCTTAAACGCAACGACATCATTTCTCTACCACCTCGATTCGGGAATGTCGTTGCGTACAATGAAAACAGAAAACATTTACGCCTTCGATGGTACTCCCTTTAAGGTGAAAATGCCATAGCGCTCAGAAACGACAGGGGTCCTCAGAGCCCCGGTATCGTATCACAGTCCCAGTCTGCGGTAAATATTTCCTACTAAAAATTAAAACAAACTCATTTATTTATTTCCAAATGTTAATCTCTTGCGTTTAGACATTTCAGGTTTTGTTTAACACGTCAACCTTACGTCGTCATTATACCACAAGAACGTTTAAAAGTGAGAATTATTTGAAATTTCGTAGGATTCATTGTATGTTTGAAACGCATGTTAAATGTGAAAATATTGAAAAATAATGTACACTTAGTGGCACAAGCCCAAACTCTCCCTGTCAGCATCCCCCCTCTCACTGAATCTGATACTCTTTAGCCATGATCTTATCAGTTGTTCCCCTGCTCCAGTGAAGCAGGCATGGTCAAGCTGGTCCAAGTTTGTTTACTTTAGGGCACTGATGGCATGGGCCAGCTTGACACTCAAGGATTGAAACATAACACTCCAAGACAAAACAGTGGAACTACAGTGACCAAATCAACTCTTTGAAAAACGTTTTGGAGGTAATAATTATAATAAAGTGTCTATTCACTGGAAACTGACAACCCTTGACCAATATTTAAATCATGTTCAATGTGGTAAGCATTTATATATATCGGGTTTAAACCCAAATAGGCAATTCATTAGCCGTTACTAATGATGGTAGTTTTGGGTTAGGCTCATAGGTATGTTAGTAGACTAACCCTTAGTCTATATAATTTTGATAGAAACCAATAACGCCAATAAATTGAAAAAGAGCCACACTGAGATGAGAGATTCAGCTTTTAGAGGGTATTCTGTTCAACTTGCTCTTTCAGTGAAAAATTGAAAAATGGATTTATACTGGAACAAATTTACAATATGTTCGCCACTACAAATAATGTTCAAAACTGTTTGACTGCCATGAACACACAATGTCATTTAGAAAGTGGTCAAATGTAACAAATGTTATATTTGGGATAACACTTGTAGTCAACTGGTATTCTAGATCACATACTTTGTGTACCCCTCTGACAAGTGTAAATTGGCAGGACTCCCATGGCCAGTTGTCGGACTTTCATTTTTGTTTAAGCCTCGGTGGCTGAATGGGTTAGATCGCTGACTTTGTGTGCTGGCGATTAGGTGCCTCACCCTGGCAGTGTGGGTTTGAATCCTGGACGGGACTCAACCCGAAAAAGTACGAGAATCTGTACTTTGCAAAGAAAGCGTTTTCCCAAATATAACATTTGTTACATTTGACCACTTTCTAAATGGCATTGTGTGTTCATAGCTTTCGGCCATGGGAGCAGTGCCAATTTACACTTGTCAGAGGGGTACACAAAGTACGTGATCTAGACTACCAGTTGTCAGACTTTCATTTTTGTGGAAGCCTCGGTGGCTGAGTGGGTTAGATCGCTGACTTTGTGTGCCTCACTCTGGCAGTGTGGGTTTGAATCCCGGAGAAACTGTACTTTGCAAAGAAAGTGTTATCCCAAATTTAACATTTGTTATGTTTGACTGCCACTTCAGATTATTAAAAGGAGATATTATATGCCCCAATAACCTCCTCAAAATCTAACGTAGCAATGTAAAATGGTTCCTCAAACCTTTTTGAGAATAATATGATGGGTAAAATGTTAAACTTTATAATTAGTGGGTTTAATAAGTAGCGAACATATTGCAAAGTTGTACCCGTGCCAATATACACTTGTCAGAGTGGTACACGAAGTTTGTGAGTACCATTTGTCAAACTTCCATTTTTGTCCCAGATGGGACTCAACTCCAAAAAATACTAGGGTTTGCACATTACAGAGAAAGTTTTATCCCAAATATGAAATTTGTTACTTTGTACTTATTTATGTTTTAAATACTCTTTGCCATCAAAGTTAGAAGAAATAGGGGTGACTATGGTATGTACATGAAAGGAAAACCAAGATGATACTATTTCTATATAGTTTGTTTAACTGAACTTCTCACATCTACATGAATGTCACCAGAAGACAACGTGCACCAATTGTAGTACTGGGCAGTAACATGATGTCCATTGCACCTGCAGGTTTATGAACACGCTTATAGCTCTTGAAAGATATTTCTTATTATGTCAAATGTTGAATCCAGTTAGTATATACTGTTTCTGCTTCATGTAAAAAACCCACTTGATTTGTTAATTATGAACATTTGTTTTAATTATTCATCAATGTCTACTGTACTTTTGATATTTTCGTACACAACTGACTAGATAAATGTTTCATGGCAAAAGAGTTATACTTTGTAATGTCTTGCCTGCTTTTGAAAGCACTCATGAGGCCATTATGTTACGCACAATAAATTTAAATTTAAATGGGTTGTCTACAAGTTGACCAATATCTTTTTTTAATCTGCAGAACATTTAAATGTTTCGAAAGTAGTTTAAAATAACCAAATATCAATATTTTAAAAGAAGACAATTATTTTCTGGACTCACATACATGTCGTCTGCTACAGAAGAGCTTGTGGTCATTAATCAGATGTGACACACCGGGGAAGCTGGCAAGAGGACCCCTGCTGATAGCGGGAGTTTTGGGGGGACTTGAATGCAGTTAGCTGTTCCTCACTTTGAGGATTTCAGAGACCCTTATTCCACTAAGTGTGTATTGATTGATAATAAAAGGTTTATTATGCGATTTTTGTTCAATTCTGCGGAAAGTCACTTTTTCTGCATATCTTTCCGCGGACCCGCAGAATTCGTCGGGGACTGGTATCGGACTAAAGGATCTACAGAAAACTACGTTGATAACGAACACGATTATAACGAACTGACGGATATAACGAACTAACATTTTTGTCCCGACTATTTGCTGTAGTTATGCTGCATATATGCTTATAACGAAATACAGGCTATAACGAACTAAAATTAGTAGTCCCTTTGAGTTCGTTATAACCGTAGTTTACTGTATTTTAATAATCTAACAAAGCCAAAAAATGATGATAAGGACGTTCACTTATATGTCCAGCAACGTTTCGATTTTTCAGTTTGTTAAAAAAATACATTATCAAACGATTCAAATAATCAGTTCTCATATTGTAATTACACACTTGAACTCCTTTGTGTGGCTTTCTCCGGATGTTTTTAGTGAGTGAGTTGGGTTTAACGCCGCTTTTAACATTATTCCAGTTATATCACGGCGTGTCAGCTTAATGTGGGAGTAATACCCGAATTGATGCAGGTCTCAGACGTTTACCACTTCGGTGAAACCCACTAGCACGGGTATGGTGCTGACAAACCTAGAAACATAATCGGGGCGAACCGGGATTCGAACCCACAATCATAGGTTTCTGACGTGCCCAAGGGACGCAACTCTGCACAGCGAATCGCGGCGCCTTAGACGACTGGGCCACCCGTGCCCACCGATGTTTTAGTGATGTTTTTTCAACGGATAATGTATTCATTGTCACTTCTTAAGCTATCAAATTGTTAAGTATTAGTTGCACTGCATACGGTACATATTTGCACATATTTTGTGCTGATGTACGTATGATCTGTGCCAAACATGTGCATATCTCATTGATGTCTATATTTTGATATTCCAACAATAACAAAATCACAATGATACCGAAAAAACAAGAAATATCACAATGCTTTGACGAGTCTCTTTTTCAAGTACATGAACACCACACGATATATATTATAATACGTCTCCCCGAAATCGCCATACAATAGATAGTGAGTGGGTGTTGTTGGTTTGTTGTTTTACGCCGCACTCAGCAATATTCCAGCCGTATGACGGCGGTCTGTAAATAATCTAGACCGGACCAGACAATCCAGTGATTGCCATCATGAGCATCGATCCACGCAACTGGGATACGGTGACATGCATCAACCAAGTCAGCGAGCCTGACCGCCCGATCCAGTTAGCGCCTCTTTCGACATGCATAGTCGCCGTTTATGGCAAGCATGGGCTGCTGAAGAACTATTCTGACCTGGATCTTCACGGGACGAGTGAGTGAGTGATTTGGGTTCAACGCCGCTTTGAACAATATTCCAGTTACGTCACGGCGTGTCAGCTTAATGTGGGAGAACAGCCCGAAGTGATGCAGATCTCAGACGTTTAGCATGTTGGCAAAACCCACGAGCACAGGTATGGTACAAACGTAATCGGGGCGAACCGAGATTCGAGCTCACAATCATAGGATCCTGGAGCGCCCAAGGGACGCAACTCTTAAACGACTGGGCCACAAGTACTACCGATAAAGTAATTGTTATCAATCACTGTTAAAGTAGATTGTGCAATTTTCCTCCACAAGACGAAGTAAAAACAAATTGCTCATGTAATGTAATGCATTTAAGCAATAGTCCGCGTACAGATCAAGTCCTGCCCGCAAACAAGATCAGGTTCGTTGTGTCACGTTGGTCGAAGAGGATATTATGTGACAAATCGATATAATTCCATCCTCGCTACTCTGGGTTATTTTGTAAGTAAATGGCTCCGACAAACAACATCGAGTTCTGCGAATTGCTCTTGTTCAGCGATGTGAGAAGCAGATTCAATGACGTATAAGGATTGTTTTGATTAAGGTAAAGTTTGTACACAGGGTCAGTTTATGTGTCACGTGTTTTAGCAGGAAGAGAACGTGTCAGGTGGTCAGCAGAAACAGTAGGTGTCACGTGGTGAGCAGGACGAGAAGGTGTCACGTGTTTAAGCAGGAACAGTAGGTGTCACGCTTTTTAGCAGGAACAGTAGGCGTCACGTGTTTTAGCAGGAACAGTAGGTGTCACGCTTTTTAGCAGGAACAGTAGGCGTCACGTGTTTTAGCAGGAACAGTAGGTGTCACGTGTTTTAGCAGGAACAGTAGGTGTCACGTGTTTTAGCAGGAACAGCAGGAGTCACGTGTTTTAGCAGGAACAGTAGGTGTCACGTGTTTTAGCAGGAACAGTAGGTGTCACGCTTTTTAGCAGGAACAGCAGGAGTCACGTGTTTTAGCAGGAACAGTAGGTGTCACGTGTTTTAGCAGGAACAGTAGATGTCACGTGATTTAGCAGGACCAGTAGGTGGCACGCTTTTCAGCAGGAACAGTAGGTGTCACGCTTTTTAGCAGGAACAGTAGATGTCACGTGTTTTAGCAGGAACAGTAGGCCTCACGTGTTGTAGCAGGAACAGTAGGTGTCACGTGTTTTAGCAGGAACAGTAGGTGTCACGTGTTTTAGCAGGAACAGTAGATGTCACGCTTTTTAGCAGGAACAGTAGGCGTCACGTGTTTTAGCAGGAACAGTAGGTGTCACGCTTTTTAGCAGGAACAGTAGGAGTCACGTGTTTTAGCAGGAACAGTAGGTGTCACGCTTTTTAGCAGGAACAGTAGGTGTCACGCTTTTTAGCAGGAACAGCAGGAGTCACGTGTTTTAGCAGGAACAGTAGGTGTCACGTGTTTTAGCAGGAACAGTAGATGTCACGTGATTTAGCAGGACCAGTAGGTGGCACGCTTTTCAGCAGGAACAGTAGGTGTCACGCTTTTTAGCAGGAACAGTAGATGTCACGTGTTTTAGCAGGAACAGTAGGCCTCACGTGTTGTAGCAGGAACAGTAGGTGTCACGTGTTTTAGCAGGAACAGTAGGTGTCACGTGTTTTAGCAGGAACAGTAGATGTCACGCTTTTTAGCAGGAACAGTAGGTGTCACGCTTTTTAGCAGGAACAGTAGGTGTCACGCTTTTTAGCAGGAACAGTAGATGTCACGTGTTTTAGCAGGAACAGTAGATGTCACGCTTTTTAGCAGGAACAGTAGGTGTAACGCTTTTTAGCAGGAACAGTAGGTGTCACGTGTTTTAGCAGGAACAGTAGATGTCACGCTTTTTAGCAGGAACAGTAGGTGTCACGCTTTTTAGCAGGAACAGCAGGAGTCACGTGTTTTAGCAGGAACAGTAGGTGTCACGTGTTTTAGCAGGAACAGTAGATGTCACGTGATTTAGCAGGACCAGTAGGTGGCACGCTTTTCAGCAGGAACAGTAGGTGTCACGCTTTTTAGCAGGAACAGTAGATGTCACGTGTTTTAGCAGGAACAGTAGATGTCACGTGTTTTAGCAGGAACAGTAGGCGTCACGTGTTTTAGCAGGAACAGTAGGTGTCACGCTTTTTAGCAGGAACAGTAGGAGTCACGTGTTTTAGCAGGAACAGTAGGTGTCACGTGTTTTAGCAGGAACAGTAGATGTCACGTGTTTTATGAACCGATGCATCAATGACCGCCGGCTACCTTATCTGAAAAAAACAACAACCCTGAAACAAAAGAATAGTTCAAGAGTACAAGACTTTATTAGTGACTGAGTGACTGAGTCTGTTTTTGTGACACTTTAACCAATTTTTCGTTCATATCAAGTCAGCCAAGATGAAAACGCGGGGTAATGTAAATCTTTGACGTGTGTCACATCAATGAAACATGCTGGCAGGAAAATGGTGCTGATATTTAACAGTTGTTGCGAACCTTGGATTTGAACTGACAACCAGCGGATCCTGTCACACCTAAGGGACGCAACTGACTACGGACTAAAGGCTTAGCTGAGACAATACCACGAATCGGGCGTCCAAGGACTTTCCTTATACATGTTCAAACGATTTTAATCGTTTAATTACTTGTTGTCTCTCGTAAGTTCTTCATACAGGACAATTTAGGCATTCATAACCCAGAACAAACTGGGCCCACTTGCACAAAACGGTCTTAGCGCCAAGACTATTGTGAGCCTATGTTAAAGTATGGAAGTTAAGATCATCTTAGCGCTAAGGTCGCTTTGTTCGAGTGGGCCTGCAGTGGAGTATGATTTTATCATACTAAATGGGGGAGTTGGAGTAGCCGAGTGGTTAAAGCGGTTGCTCGCCAAGCCGAATGCCCAGGTTCGATTCCTTACATGGTGTGTGTGTGTGTGTGTGTGTGTGTGTGTGTGTGTGTGTGTGTGTGTGTGTGTGTGAGTTGGGTTTAACGCCGCTTTTAACAGTCCTAACATGGGTGAAATTTAAGAAATCCATTTCTGGTGTCTCCCACTGTGATAGTTCTGGAATATTGCTAAAAGCGGTTTAATTTTTTTCTCACTCACTCATAATAAAATACAACAAATAAAACAGTACCTTGCGCAACGAAAAAACACATCACAGATTTAAACCAGTGATGAAAAAAGAGACATTGTTCAGAGCAAATATATACATCGGGCAATAAAAATTATATCTTTTTTTCGTTTTGGGAACATACATAGCAGTGTAAATAGGATAAGCAACAAAAACGCCCATCATCAAAAGAAATCTCTTCTTAAAGCAGGGAGGGTCGGGCAGCCAAGTGGTTAAAGCGTTCGCTCGTCACGCCGAAGACAATGTGTGAAGCCCATTTCTGATGTCCTCCGCCGTGATATTGCTTGAATATTGCTAAAAGCGGCGTAAAACCATACTCACTCACTCACTCACTCTTTTTAAAGCAGAGTTTACTGTAAGATTCCGACTTCACCATAAACAAGTGTTTATGAATCTCTATAAATACTAATGATACAAGGTTTCGCCAACAGGTCAGCGTATCCTATACCATCGGTGGCACCCGTCACAAACACATGCAAAGGCAAGTCAAGTGTTGACCTGAATAACTCACGGGAGCAGCTTACCCAGATTTACAGAATGTCTTCCGCCTGCATTACTAAGTCGCGTTGTTGGGTGGACACAGCTGCCTTGTCTTCTGGCGCAAACACGTAGGAGATGCTGAAGTCTGTGTTGGGGCAGGAGAAGTTGACGTCGTCAACGGGAACGTACGGTATCGGCTTCTTGGTGGCATTCGATTGATTCTCTTTGCTGGATTCTGTTAAAAAAAGATCCCAGAATGAACGCCTATCTTGAAGAGTGAGTGGGTGTGGTTTTACGCCGCTTTTAGCAATATTCCAGCAATATCACGGCGGGGGACACCAGATATTGGCTTCATACATTGTACCCATGTCGGGAATCGAACCCGGGTCTTCGGCGTACCCATGTCGGGAATCGAACCCGGGTCTTCGGCGTGACGAGCGAACGCTTTACCCTACCGCCCCTATCTTGAAGAAAAGTCGGTAAACCGATGCACTAAAAGAAAAATTACGCCCATTTTATGGAATACAGGGGTGTTGGGATGGGTAGGGCTTACATTAATTATTTTTCCAAACCAAGATGTACGGTATTGTCAGTATAAAGGTGGCAATACAAGGGCGGATCCCTGGACCCCACTTGACCCCGCCTCTGAAATCCGCCTATGCAGAGACCATATATCGGTATATGGTCTCTGGCCTACGTGATATGGTATGTCTCCAGTCAGATGAACGCCGCTTGGGCAATGTTTGTCTCAACCATTCGGCTTGACCACTCGGCTTGACCTTCGCCTTGTAAGGCCAAGGACCGGAGATCCATTCTTGTCATGGGTACAATGTGTGAAACATGATCATAGTGTCCACAGCTTCGCGATGCTGCAGGACAAAACCTTACTTTTTCGTGATCTTTCCACTAATCTTCGATTTGTTTATTTAGCCCCACACCCCACACCCCACCACCACCACCAAAAAAAAAACCGAAACAAAATACCACACTGGTGGCAGCAATGTTACCGAGAGCGTAACGACGGTGTCACGCGCTGGGAAGGAGCTTGAGCTTATCGTTAAAAGGGAGATAATTGCTCAAGGGAGATAATTTCGAGTTAAGGACTGAATGGCAGTTATGTCCCTTACTGTCGGCGTTAGCAGAGCCCTCAGGCTCTCCCCTCTCACAGACGGAAGACACTGTGGGTTGCTCTTCAAAGGATTGGTGATAGAACGTCCTCACTCCTCGGCTGCTGGCGCATCCCATTGTTGCCTAGGTAACAAAGTCAAAATCTGGAAGCAATAATAACACCTCGTAAAACATAATTTCGATATTCTAAAGAAAATCCAGATGTCAAAATTAATGAGGGTAGAAATATTATCTTGAAGTTTATTCTCTTTTTAATATCAAAAAACACTTTGCTACTCTAATAGCGCACTATCGGACTCGTTCTCGAGCATTGGTGTGGGTGCAAACATCAGCAATAAGGACACTATATGATCAACACACGACCCAACATCAGCCATAAGGACACTATAGGATCAACACACGACCCAACATCAGCCATAAGGACACTATAGGATCAACACACGACCCAACATCAGCCATAAGGACACTATAGGATCAACACACGACCCAACATCAGCCATAAGGACACTATAGGATCAACACACGACCCAACATCAGCCATAAGGACACTATAGGATCAACACACGACCCAACATCAGCCATAAGGACACTATAGGATCAACACACGACCCAACATCAGCCATAAGGACACTATAGGATCAACACACGACCCAACATCAGCCATAAGGACACTATAGGATCAACACACGACCCAGCATCATTCATAAGGACACTATAGGATCAACACACGACCCAACATCAGCCATAAGGACACTATAGGATCAACACACGACCCAACATCAGCCATAAGGACTCTATAGGATCAACACACGACCCAACATCAGCCATAAGGACACTATAGGATCAACACACGACCCAACATCAGCCATAAGGACACTATAGGATCAACACACGACCCAACATCAGCCATAAGGACACTATAGGATCAACACACGACCCAACATCAGCCATAAGGACACTATAGGATCAACACACGACCCATCATCATCCATAAGGACACTATAGGATCAACACACGACCCAACATCAGCCATAAGGACACTATAGGATCAACACACGACCCAACATCAGCCATAAGGACACTATAGGATCAACACACGACCCAACATCAGCCATAAGGACACTATAGGATCAACACACGACCCAACATCAGCCATAAGGACACTATAGGATCAACACACGACCCAACATCAGCCATAAGGACACTATAGGATCAACACACGACCCAACATCAGCCATAAGGACACTATAGGATCAACACACGACCCAACATCAGCCATAAGGACACTATAGGATCAACACACGACCCAACATCAGCCATAAGGACACTATAGGATCAACACACGACCCAACATCAGCCATAAGGACACTATAGGTCCAACACCCGACCCAACATCAGCCATAAGGACACTATAGGTCCAACACCCGACCCAACATCAGCCATAAGGACACTATAGGATCAACACACGACCCAACATCAGCCATAAGGACACTATAGGATCAACACACGACCCAACATCAGCCATAAGGACACTATAGGATCAACACACGACCCAACATCAGCCATAAGGACACTATAGGTCCAACACCCGACCCAACATCAGCCATAAGGACACTATAGGATCAACACACGACCCAACATCAGCCATAAGGACACTATAGGTCCAACACCCGACCCAACATCAGCCATAAGGACACTATAGGATCAACACACGACCCAACATCAGCCATAAGGACACTATAGGTCCAACACCCGACCCAACATCAGCCATAAGGACACTATAGGATCAACACACGACCCAACATCAGCCATAAGGACACTATAGGTCCAACACACGACCCAACATCAGCCATAAGGACACTATAGGTTCAACACACGACCCAACATCTACCATAAGGACACTAGAGGATCAACACACGACCCAACATCAGCCATAAGGACACTATAGGATCAACACACGACCCAACATCAGCCATAAGGACACTATAGGTTCAACACACGAACCAACATCAGCCATAAGGACACTATAGGACCAACACCCCCTCAACATCAGCCATAAGGACACTATAGGTTCAACACACACCCCAACATCAGCCATAAGGACACTATAGGATCAACACACGACCCAACATCAGCCATAAGGACACTATAGGTTCAACACACGACCCAACATCTACCATAAGGACACTAGAGGATCAACACACGACCCAACATCAGCCATAAGGACACTATAGGATCAACACACGACCCAACATCAGCCATAAGGACACTATAGGTTCAACACACGACCCAACATCAGCCATAAGGACACTATAGGACCACACCCCCTCAACATCAGCCTTGAGGACACTATAGGATCAACACACACCCCAACATCTACCATAAGGATCAACACACGACCCAACATCAGCCATAAGGACACTATAGGATCAACACCCCCTCAACATCAGCCATAAGGACACTATAGGTCCAACACCCGACCCAACATCAGCCATAAGGACACTATAGGATCAACACACACCCCAACATCAGCCATAAGGACACTATAGGATCAACACACGACCCAACATCTACCATAAGGACACTATAGGATCAACACACGACCCAACATCAGCCATAAGGACTCTATAGGATCAACACACGACCCAACATCAGCCATAAGGATACTATAGGATCAACACACACCCCAACATCAGCCATAAGGACACTATAGGATCAACACACGACCCAACATCAGCCATAAGGACACTATAGGATCAACACACGACCCAACATCAGCCATAAGGACACTATAGGATCAACACACGACCCAACATCAGCAATAAGGACTCTATAGGATCAACACTCCCCTGTCGTAAACATAGTATTACATTATCGGTTGTTGATTGTTTGTTGTTTAACGCCGCACTCAGCAATATTCCAGCTATATGACGGCGGTTGTTTAAGAATTGACCTTCACTTTGTGTGAGTTCATTGGAGTATGAACCTTCATAGAGTGAGGGCCAAACTGTATACAATGTTTGGCCCTCACTCTATGAAGGTTCATACTCCAATGAACTCACACAAAGTGAAAGTCAATTCTTATAAAAAAAATTATCACAATTTCTTACCTCAAAGGATGGAGGCCAAGATCTAAACACAATTTTATTATTTAGTACGTGTGACTTCATGTTTACACTGACAGCCAAACAACAACCAGCTATATCGCGGAATAAAATAGTTCCTCAAAAAGAGAGGTGATATGAGCGTATGGGTGCAGAACTTGCTCTTCAGAAACATGTTACGCAGCACATGTGTTCAAATCATATCCTCATTAGATGAGAAAGGTGTGTAAACAACTACCTCAGTAAGTCAGTCACAATGACAGCGCGTCGTAATACATTTTCATCTATACAAGACGTCAAAATTGCCGACACGATAAACGTGACGGGAGGATTTCCGAGGTTGTTAATAAACCTGTGGCGGTTAAATGTGTTAGTCATCACTGATCAACTGGTCGATCATTGAAAGGTGATTAAAGATGCGTCAAACAGACATCAAGGTAAATTCGTAGATTGCTGGAGACAATCACTGTCAGCCTAGACACAGATCGAGTCGATACTGACGATAGTTTGGATGTGCATTTTTTCGTTTGTTCATTAGGATGGGCCGTAGCGAGGAAATTCGTGAACAATCATGCAGTCAAGCTCTCTTACGTTTCTCAATGTATACTGAAATGCTGAGACCAAGATTAAAGGTTCTAAATGATCAGAAAGAACGCTTATATATGTATGTTTTCGTGCTAGGGAATTCCCAGGGGTTTCCCCAGGAATGTGGAAGTAGTCCGTCAGTGTTTACGTCATTTCAAGAACACGGTCTCGTGAAAAACGTATGAACGTCAAATTGTGTCGTTCATACACTTATGAACGTCAATTTCGCGGTCATGTGACCGACCTTTCGTCCAATGGAAAAGCCGTATATCTGGAAAAAACTTCAAATTAAAAAAAATATTATCATCTCATAATCGCAGTGGTGCATAATACATAACATAAGTTATGAGTGACGTCATCCGACGTACTGCTTTCTACTATAACGATAACGCTATTTTTCAGGGCATTATCATTTGCAGAAGCCCGAGGTTTTCCATTAACTGCCCGACGAAGGAGGGCAGTTGAAAAGACCGAGGGCTTCTGCATATGATAAAGCCCTGAAAAATAGCGTTATCGTTATTATAGCTAACATGGATGGAATTTGTTATCAAATAAGAGAAACAACAACATCGGTTTTGAAACATCTACTGCAATCAACACGAATGTCACTGACCCCATTTTACAAACATGGAAACGTCATAGAACAAACCAGATGACGTCACTATAATACGTGACATCACTTTCAAGATTCAAGATTCTTTATTCAGTATTTTTGGGCCATGTGGCCTAGAGTACAATTACAATTACAATAATTGCTGCGTCACGTGATGTCAGGAAAATAAATACAAGTAGTCTTATTTCACATTAAATACATGATTTAAGTATAAGGCCAAAGCCTTTACAATGTTGATATTTTTGGAGTTGAGTATATTACATAAACTGTGATTATCATGATGGACATTGGATAACCAAGGCAAATAGTGGTTTCTGACAGAAGAATATTTTGAACATATAAACAAAACATGAAATTCATCCTCTAATTGCCTCCCTGTACAGTGGGTACATAGATATAAACTCAAGTCTTCATTTGTATGTTTTGACTTTCGTAGCATGTTAATCTTAAAACCGTGTAGCGATATTCTGAATTTACAATATGCTCTCCTGAGTGATTTATTCGTGAGATTACTGATGTAAAATTCTGGCTGTAAAAGTGATTTCAAATTTGCATAATGTGACAGATATTTTGATGAAGAAATAGAGTCATGCCACTCTTGAGAATACATATCACTCAGCCTTTGTTTTATTTTTAGCAAAAAGAGATTTTCATCGCCAATATGTTGAGAGATCCATACAAATGAAAAGCCTGAAGAAAACAAAATATATCTTACATCAGACACCCAGGTGTGTTTATCATTATCATCTAACTGTTTAAGTAGATTGTAACATTGTTTTGGATATCGACATTGATTCATACGTAGCAATCTCAACCAGTATTTAAGTACCCTTATTTTGCTAAACACGAACATATTTAATCGTCCAGTTTCACCCAGAATAGCTTTATTAGAGGCATATTTTCCGATACAAAGATAATTTTTAAAATAGGACGTATGTACTTTTTCTATACATTCATAATATTACGTCACTTTCTCTACCTTATGACGTCACCTCACAACGGGCTTGATAATGGCCCGTCGTCAAGCAATATGAGGGCATTATCAAGTTACAGTGGCCCGCTCATTTCTGATAACGTGCGGGCGGTTTAATGATAATTCTATCCATTTTAGCTATAATCATAAATAATGTGACAGTATACAAAAAGGTTTGCACCATATCTATGGATTAGCAAGGCGATGAAGATAATATCTAAACCCGTTGGATGTCGAGTTAAACATGGTCACCTCAAAGAAATTGCCAAAAATGTACAACAATGTTTACTTCCGTATGGCATCACTACCGGTGACCGACTTTTACAAAATGGCGTGCTTTCTGACAACAGTACATAGGATTTTCAGAGGAGGAATTGAGGGATCGTATATGTGCATGTGCCCAGCTTCCCGAGGCAAGGGAGTTAACTGAGTTGAAGCTGGACTTTTAGTCAGTTAACTCCCTTGCCTCGGGAAGATGGAATATGTCATGTATACGTAAGTAATAAGAAACAATCGGAAATTCTGCGTGCTGTTATTTCTTTTATGTTTTCCAATGTGACCTAGAGAATTAGTCAGAAATGCAGATAACTACCGTCGTCGGCGTGCGTCAGGCGTCACACAGGACGGAAACTTTTACGATTTCTGTTAAATATACCTGATCATTGTAATGTAAATATTTTTAATTCCAATATTCGTGCTACGATACTCTTCCCATGGATGTTCTCAAACACGTCAGCTAATGTATACAATTACACGAAAGGATCTCTCAAAATAGGATTTGTTTGTTTGTTGTTTAAAGCAGCACTCCGCACTATTCAAGCTATATGACGGCGGCATAGTCGCCTTTTACGGCAAGCATGGGTTAATGAAGACCTGTTCTACTCCGGATCTTCACGGGTCCTCAAAATAGGAGAAAATGCTACACAAAGTACAGTTTTTCAAACACCTAATTTATTACGCTTGATTTCATCTAGATAATTTGTATTGGTGACAAAGACACAACTACATCGGGCCGACGCTGGCTTTGCATCGGCAACCGCCGGTGTCCCGGTATAAACTCTCCCCCCGGAGATTTTATACCGGTACAAATACTCCCCCGGAGAATCTGTTCTGAAATAAAATCTCCCCCGGGCGGATATATTTCGCGCCCCCATCAGTATAAAGTCTCCCCCCTCAACTATTGAACTGCATGGCAAGTATTTATAAAACGACCGGGGATGGAAATATTTTGGGGGGAGATTTTATTTCGTAGGGTGGGGAAGAGTTTATTTCGAGAGGGGCGGAACTGTACCGGTATAAATTCGCCGGGCGGAGATTTTATTCTGGGGGCGAATATATTTCGTGACACCGGCAATATCGGCATCGGCAAACTGCAGCGGTCCGCTGTCGGGCCATTACTGGTTATTGGCTCTGACACTATTGAACCTGATATATGATTTGATTTCGTTATGATAACATAAAAGACAAAAACACATTTGTCGATTACAATGTGACAAATATTGGATCAAATATATTTACGAATAATACAATAATTCTATTCGAACTCAAAATATTAACTTTATTTTTAATTTTTAAATTAAATAGATCAAGCACATTCACTGACCATTTAGGCTGCACATATACAACAGACAGAGTAGATTTAATTTGATTCTAAAATCTAGAAGGAATTCAGGGATGCATATATGGCAGCTGAGTTTGAAATATCCGTGATCGAACAGGCAAAATCGAACATCGAACATAGCCCATGTATAGAGAATGGAGATATGGACATCTAGAGAACGACGACCCGACAAGGTTTGTTGAGATGGTTTGGTACAACCTATGTTTCCATTTGGGGAGGCGGGGACCCGAAGGATGGGCATGTTTTACTAAAACTACACTTCAACTCAAATGAGATGATAACAATAAGCACTACCTTACCTTAGCATCGGCCGAGAAGACAAAAAACTGGCAGGGAGGTAGCAATTCCGATCAGGATTGCTCGGTTGTCAGGATCTATGAGAACGAGTCTGCAGCAAATCCAGGTAGCGTCTATCTCTTCTACCTGTCAAAAATACATCTAGATTGTGATGCATTATTCCAAAAGGCCACAAAAATTGCTTTGAAAAATCCGGGATTTGTTACAATAATGCCCCTTCAGGTAAAAATTCCCCGAGCACCAGAAGATATCAAGAAAGGCGGGTTTGTCCCATTGGTTGGTTGGTTTGTTGTTTAACGCCGCACTCAGCAATATTCCAGCTATATGACGGCGGTCCTATAAATAATCGAGTCTGGACCAGACAATCCAGTCATTGACATCATGAGCATCGATCCACGCAATTGGGACGGATGACATGCATCAACCAAGTCGGCGAGCCTGACCACCCGATCCCGTTAGTCGCCTCTTACGACAAGCATAGTCGCCTTTTACGGTAAGCATGGGTTGCTGAAGACCTATTCTACCCCGGATCTTCACGGGTCAGATGAACATGTGGTTGGGAAACCTTTCAAGGATTGCTCATTCCTACGGAAGCCTTTGAGGACCTTTTGTTTTTTGGGTTTTTTTTACAAATTTTTATTAAGATATTAACGTGAAATTTCAAGTTGTTATGTTGTAATTTCAAGACACATACTATAAGTTGAAATTTTAAGATAATGATCTCTGAAATTTCAAGAAGGGGTTTGTCCCAGGTGTACAATTGTCACTCCGTCCGGGCATCCACATTCACATACCTCTACCATGCAGGTGTTGACACCAAGCAAGTATGCAACATCACAAAAAACATGTCTGAGGAATCCTTGAAACACTACATCTCTGGATCTAGCAGTGCGCAGAAGCGGGCCACAAGTAAAGTACTGCATGGCGTTCTTGTACCAAAGGGGCGGTCGGGTAGCCTAGTGGGTAAAGCGTTCGCTCGTCACGCCGAAGACCCGGTTTCGATTCCCGACAAGGGTACAATGTGTGAAGCCCATTTCTGGTGTCCCCCGCCGTGACATTGCTGGAATATTGCTAAAATACGAGGTGTAAAACTATACTCACTCACTCATCTGAATCTGTAGCTGAACGTCATGTCTCAATCATGTCGGCATTTCCTACGGATCGTTTGAACTTGAGTTTACTATGGGCGACATGTCTAAGTCAATTCCCTCAAATGTACCTGTTTCCCGTTTCGGGATCAGTATGAACTTTCTTGCCAGAGCCCATCTTAACAATTGGACCACAAATTTCAATATGCAGCAGTGATAACATCAACAGATAACTAACGTTGTCGAGCTAAAAATGGCGGCGAGTATTGTCAACAAAGGTCAAGGTCGAATGACGATCCATATTTGTAAAAGTGGGTCAGTGACATGCGTTGTGTGTTGATTGCAGTAAATGTTTCAAAACCGATAGTGTTGTTTATTCTCCATTTTAGCTATAATAACGGTAACACTACCTCCTTCGTCGGGCAGTTACTTGAAGACCTCGGGCTTCTGTAAATGGTAATGCCCTGATCCGATTTCACCCAATTAACAACAGCATGCCGCGTCTAGGCTACCGTCAGAGCAACTGTTACTTGAAAGAAAACCTGAATTTCGGAAACACCTGTGGATGAGAATTCCATTTGATTTTATTGTTTGCTGTTTAACACCGCACTCAGCAATAGTCCAGCTATATGACGGCGGTCTGTAAATAATTGAGTCTGGACCAGACAATCCCGTGATTGACATCATGAGCATCGGTCCACGCAATTGGGATCGATGACATGCATCAACCAAGTCAGCGAGCCTGACCACCCGATCCCGTTAGTCGCCTTTTACGACAAGCATAGTCGCCTTTTACGGCAAGTATTGGTTGCTGAAGACCTATTCTACCCCGGATCTTCACGGGTCGGATATAACGTAACAGAAAAGGGAATTTCCCTAAGAATTAAAAAACTGTGAAGTGTATTGGTGTGTGTGATGCATTTTGAATTGTATTCGACTTCGATGTGAGGGTTGATGAGGAGGGACATATATATGCCGCTGTTCCATCTAGGGGGTAAGGCTCTAAAACCATAACGTTTAACACAGACGTTGGTGAACAGTCGACTTAAGCACGCGTATCTTATGACTGACTTACGATAATACAAAGTAGTCATATTCGATCTCACACATATTTTTGATACCAGTTATCTCAAACGGATTTCGACCCGCGTTGTCTTCAGCAACCCATGTTGATGTCATTTTAGGCAAAGCAAACCTACTGAAATTGACCTCGGAAAATTAAGTACATCGTAAATCTCGCAATTTTTGATCCATTACTAAATCCTACACAGTGTTAATCATTTACTGTATGTTTCGAAATCTAAATATCGGATATTTACTCGAAGAATAGAATTTCAAAAATATTATATTAGTGATCACTGTTGTTTTTCATCAAATCACAAATGATAATCCTAAAAAGTCGCCGATATGTTTTGGATAATACGCAAACACGAACGCCGAAGTGTACATTTTGCCCTACTGGATATAGTGTTTATAAAATCACATCTCACATATGCCGGTTATGAGACGCCTATATTATATTACATCGCGTATTTTTCAAACTCAGCTGCCATACATATATCCCCGAATTCCTTCTACATTTTAGATTCAAATCACCAATGGTCTTTGTCACCACCAAATAAGTATCTAGATGAGTGAGTGAGTGAGTATGGTTTTACGCCGCTTTAAGCAATATTCCAGCAATATCACGGCGGGGGACACCAGAAATGGGCTTCACACATTGTACCCATGTCGGGAATCGAACCCAGGTCTTCGGCGTGACGAGCGAACGCTTTAACCACTAGGCTACCCGACCGCCCCGTATCTAGATAAAATCAAGGGAAATAAATAAGTTGGTGAAAGGAATGCTGTGCTCGTAAAACTGTACTTGTTTGAAATGTAAACAAAGCAAAATACAGATGCTACACAGTGTAGCGTTCTCTCCTATTTTGAGAGATCCATTCGTCTCATTGTTGTATATATAGGCTCAGGTGATTGAGAATAAGAAACAAATAACAGTACTCAGATTGTTAGATTGTTTCTGATTACTTACATGACACATTTCTTATATACGATCACTCAATTAACAAAAATCCTCCTTTGAAAATCCCGCGGAGTGTTCACGCCATTTTGTAAAAGTCGGTCACAGGTGGTGATGTCATACGGAAGAAAACACTCTTGTACATATTTGGTAATTTCTATGAGGTAAAATTATTAACTCGTCATCCAGATATGTCGTCAACCTTTTTGTGTAGGGTCACATTATTTATGAGAAGGAAGCAGTACGTCGGATGACGTCACTCATGACCTTTGTGTATCAATGCGCCCCTGCGATCACGAGAATAGACAACATGCATCAATTCGATACAAAACATGTGCGAGTTTATGGTGTGTAAAAAACAGATTATTGCACTCGTGCCTGTCAGATACCATTTATTTTACAACTCGTTGTAACTAAGCGTATCTAACTCGCTAAACTGTGGCATGGTATCTCGGTGGGCTAGCACTATAAAAAAATCGGCAAGAGCACACACACACACACACACACACGCACGCAAACGCAAACGCACACACACACACACACACACATCATAACACTGTTCCCATCCATTGAATCAAACAAATCAATAAGATTTCGTTATATTTCTCTCAATTAAATCAGTCTTATAAAAACCTCGATTAACTGGCAGTAAAACAGTATAATTTAATGTAGCTACGTTTATACCTATCAGGTGGCAGTATAGTGTAAGATCGACGAGAGTTCACAAGAAGATTGAAAGCTAAGGCCATTTAAAACACCTAATACTTATCATATTAAGGGGGCACGGGTGTCCTAGTCGTCTAAGGCGCCGCGATTCACTGTGCAGAGTTGCGTCCCTTGGGCATGCCAGAAACTTATGATTGTGGGTTCGAATCCCGGTTCGCCCCGATTATGTTTCTAGGTTTGTCAGCACCATACCCGTGCTCGTGGGTTTCACCGAAGTGGTAAACGTCTGAGACCTGCATCACTTCGGGCTTTCCTCCCACATTAATCTGCCACGCCGCGATATAACTGGAATACTGTTAAAAGCGGCGTTAAACCCAACTCACTCACTATTACATTAAGTTTCCATTCAAAATGTCTGTTGGTATATTATAGCTATCTATATATGATTTCTTCCTTTTATTGGAATAACATTATGTTAGAGTAAGAGGGGGTTCTTTCTAAAAAAAACTAATCCATGTATATCTTTGTATGTATGATTTGAGGTAAACTAGCCATCATGTGCACTGTAATTTTTTTATTGAACAATTAATTGTTGTCAAAACAGTCTGTAATTTTATGCACAGTCATCACTTTATTTCCAATACATATAGGCCACAGGCCTTGGTGTACAAAAATGGAGTACAGACAGGTTTTAAAGATTCAGTTTCGTATTTCTTACTTCATTTGAATAATATAGATATTTTGCTAGATTTGTAATAATATATGTATCTAGTGATGACTGAAGCATATTTAATTTATGAACGTTAGAATGAAACAAGAACTTTGCTTTGAGATATAGTTGCCGTAACTTGACATACGATGGACAAATAAGCAGGAAGTGGTACTCGGTTTCAACAGTCTAATTTACAAAGTTTGCATTTTCTTAAATTTCTTGGAATTTTAAAATAACGTCTATTCTCAATTTCAAAAGTATGACAACTATGATGTGAGGATTGTTTTCATATTTTGCGAATTTAAGAATGACAAATAAGGTTCACACTTAACAGTTTTAAAACAAGCATAATATGACATTTTTGAACTTGCAAGAAGTTCGTTATGCCCGATCTGCTGAAAATTGTCTTTTAAACGTTGTTGAAACATATTAAGAAAATGCTCCGTCATCTCTTGTACGTGACACGGATCCGACGAAAGGCAGAGGTTTATTTGTAAAGGTAACTTGGATGATGATGAAATAATCCGAATATATAACAGCATTTAAATCCGATTGATATCTTTTACTTACCGCTGTCCAAAATTTTATATTCATTATCCATTCACACAATCACACCCTTTAATATACTAATAAATTATTAGTTAAGCATCATATGTAATAATTCAGTTGAAATAATACACCTAATGCTACTTAATCTGCCAACAATGACTATATACAAATATAGCGCCCACAGCAGCACTAGAAGAGGTCTAATATTTTATTGGAACGTATTTGAGTACATTTCAATTACATCAAATCAACAATCATGCAAATTCTGATTTGTTCATGATTGTAAATTCTAAGATGCTTCGGTAACAGATCTAGAGCGCCGACAGTACTTTACCGTGCGATGAAGTAAACTTTTTGCGTTAATTGAAAATGGGATGACGTCATGACGCTGTTCAAATTACCTCCCCGTGAGCTAACGTATCCATGGTAACATTGTTCTAACATTTCTGTCAATCAAGATGGCGCATAATATCATATTATCGATCGATGGAATAGTTTCTTTTAATTTGTCAAATAATTGACTATTATTCCCTAGGAAGAAATATGGCAAGATGACGTCAACCATGCGGCCGCCTTACCCAAAACTAATTAATGTCATTGTGTTCGTACTATAGCAGCAACAAAGTTGTCCGAGGCGTGCGTTCACGTCTAATAATTATAGCCGTCTGTGGACACAGAAGAGTACGGAAGCCTTTTAGGGCCATTTGTTTTTCTAAAACAAATTTTTGAAATTTCAAGTTTGTGTCTAAGTTTCAAGATAATGATAATTAAATGTCATGAAAATTTTAAGATTATAACTTGCAATTTCAACTTAGCATATTGAAATTTCAGAGATCATTATCTTAAAATTTCAACTTAGTATGTGTCTTGAAATAACGACATAACATCTTGAAATTTCAAGTTAGTATCTTGAAATTTTCACGTATATATCTTAATAAAAATTTGTTTAAAAAAATCCCAAAACAAAAAAAGGCTTCCGTAGGAATGAGCAATCCTTGAAAGGTTTCCCAAACACATGTTCATCTGACCCGTGAAGATCCGGGGTAGAACAGGTCTTCAGCAACCTATGCTTGCTGTGAAAGGCGACTATGCTTGTCGTAAGAGGTGACTAACAGGATCGGGTGGTCAGGCTCGCTGACTTGGTTGATGCATGTCATCGTATCCCAACTGCGTGGATCGATGCTCATGAGGTCAATCACTTGACTGGTCCAGACTCGATTATTTACAGACCGCCGACATATAGCTGGAATACTGCTGAGTGCGGCGTTAAACAACAAACAAACAAACAAACAAACAAACATGTACACTTGTTGCTCAGTGTAGGGCATTTAGGGCAACCAACACAACGAATGTCATGGTCGTCCCACGGCGTCTGCGACGCCATTTAACGCCATAATGTCGTGCAACCAACTCTGTAAGTACAGTATTTCATGGCAGCTGTTCCGTCTTCTAACATTATGTTGGAAACAAAGTTCCTACTTACGACAAAAAACACGTCAACCGAACGTCACTATGTTCACATGTTCGCTCGGTCCCACAATGCACTTGTGAAAAAATTTTCGATCTCGTGATTATACTAAAGCTACTTATTGTAAAAAATAAATAATAATCCTTATTCTCTTACATCCTATATGTTACATCTGACAAGTTTCTAGATGAGATCAAAGGATAATTTTCCTACTTGCCAAAGACCAAGCTGACTTCAAATACTGAAGTAATTGAATATTGAAGTTAGACTTAAACAACTAAATAAATATCTTGGTAACAGGATGGCTAAACAGTGAACTATTCATCACACCCTGCATTGTTGGATTTGTGCTAAGTCAGTGTTCAGCTCCTATACTGCGCTGGGAGTTGTCATGTGGTCATGGATGTTTGAATTTGAAATAAGAACAGAACGGCCAGACTCACTTGCTAAATTATTTCAGAACGGAGATCAGATGACAGCAGAATATTATGTCAGTGATAAAAATTTGAGTGGTCGAATACTGTGGTCGAAAGTGTTGCCGTGATAGTATCTGGACTGCCAAATTGTCACAGCTTGTCCCTCTTGCGTGCCTTGTTGACATCCGATATGCCATTCACCCTATATGCACTAAGGCCTCGCTTTCAAACGGACGTGTCAAAAAAGTACATTTATCAGTGGGTGATTAACAGAGGCTAAATTAACTCAAATGAAAATCTCGGACAACTCTTAGGACTGTGTTTTTTCCATTAAAATCAGATTTTAGTTCTCGCTACAGCTAAACAATTATTATTGACACGATCATATTCATATTCTACATTTCAGCGTAAATATATTAAAGGTAGGCCGATCGCGATTCTTGCATAACGTTCAAATTTTAGAATTTATAAATGTGGGTGTTCTTGATATTTTGGATTTGGATCCCTCCCTTTTACAGCCCTTGATAGCCAGTCTTGACAAAGACCGCTGCCACATCCTTAAGTCTTAGCTCATCAATTGGACTTACCACGGTCGTAGAAATAATTATTGATTGAATAAAACTGGCATTGGTATGGTGTTGACATTCAGATCGAACCAGCCTGCAAACCTTTACCTCGGGTGCCCGAGTTCCCTCGAGCAAATACCGAGTGTACAAGAAGGTGACTAGTAGTTGTGTGACCTGCTCGTGCATTGTAGGCAAATAATGGCCTCGTTAATATCAAATACAATTTACGGTGAGTTATAACAAATAAAAATTGAATTTACACGGGAAAAAAAACATACGTATACATTACCTCAGTATATTACGATGTTTCACAAGAGAAAACAAATTGGTTATCCTTATATTTTGCTGGAGCTGGATAATAACGCGAAGTACCTGTGGCGCTCGTGCCGCAACCTGTGACTAGGTATTGTCTCTGTGATCACACCTGCTCTCGTCGCGAAGTCCGTGCCTAGCAACGGCGGGATGAAGCGCCAAGTCACATGCAGCTGGGAAGGAGGTGTCCACCTGTCAAGCGCTGCTCGTGTTAAATAATTATCTTACCTCTCAATATTGAGAATTTCTTTTTTACAATCAAACTTGATCAAGCTTCTGGAAGGCAAAACAGGTACTTAAAATTGAGTTAAGACCATACGTGAAGATCCAGGCGAGAATAGGTCTTCAGCAACCTATGCTTGCCCCCAAAGGCGATTGAATGCTTGTCGTAAGAGGCGACGTACGGGATCGAGTGGTCAGGCTTGGTTGATGTATGTCGTTGTATCCCAACTGTGTGGATCGATGCTAATGGTGGCAGTCACTGGATTGTCTGGAATATTGCTGAATGCGGCGTTTAACAACAGACAGACAGACCGAGAGAGAGAGAGAGAGAGAGAGAGAGAGAGAGAGAGAGAGAGAGAGAGAGAGAGAGAGTAGCCTAGTGGTTAAAGCTTTTGGTCGCCACGCCGTGATATTGCTGGAATATTGCGGAAAGCGGCGTAAAACCAAACTCACTCTCATCACAGAGGAAGGAGTCCCGGCCAGGTTAACAGACCATCAAAGCCTGTAATTATCTGCTTAAATTCCTCTTTATTTGTTAGCAAGGGTATTGCAAACTTATTTGTGTCATTTCTGTTGTCGTTATCCTGTTCACGCATTGTTGTAGCATAAATACACTTGCATTTTGCGCAGAGAACAGAACTTTTAAAACGATATATTCACGCTATATTTTGGTATGCACAAATTGAACAGAGATCCGATGCCCCACGCGGGTACAATGTATGAGTCTATTTCTGGTGTACGGTGTACGATGTACGATGTATGATGTATGATATACGGTGTATGATGTACGGTGTATGATGTACGGTGTACGATGTATGATGTACGATGTGCGATGTATGATGTATGATATACGGTGTATGATGCACGGTGTATGATGTACGGTGTATGATGTACGGTGTATGATGTACGGTGTATGATATACGGTGTATGATATACGGTGTATGATTTACGGTGTACGATGTATGATGTACGATGTATGATGTACGATGTATGATGTACGGTGTACGATGTATGATGTACGGTGTATGATGTACGGTGTATGATGTACGGTGTACGATGTACGGTGTATGATGTACGATGTATGATGTACGGTGTATGATGTACGGTGTATGATGTATGATGTATGATATACGGTGTATGATGTACGGTGTATGATGTACGATGTATGATGTACGGTGTACGATGTACGGTGTATGATGTATGATGTATGATATACGGTGTATGATATACGGTGTATGATGTACGGTGTATGATGTACGATGTATGATGTACGGTGTACGGTGTATGATGTACGGTGTACGATGTATGATGTACGATGTATGATGTACGATGTATGATGTACGGTGTACGGTGTATGATGTACGGTGTACGATGTATGATGTACGGTGTATGATGTACGGTGTACGGTGTATGATGTACGATGTATGATGTACGGTGTACGATGTATGATGTACGGTGTATGATGTACGGTGTATGATGTACGGTGTATGATGTACGGTGTATGATGTACGGTGTATGATGTACGGTGTACGGTGTATGATGTACGATGTATGATGTACGATGTATGATGTACGGTGTACGGTGTATGATGTACGATGTATGATGTACGGTGTACGGTGTATGATGTACGGTGTATGATGTATGATGTACGGTGTATGATGTACGGTGTATGATGTACGGTGTATGATGTACGGTGTATGATGTACGGTGTATGATGTACGATGTATGATGTACGATGTATGATGTACGGTGTATGATGTACAGTGTACGGTGTATGATGTACGGTGTACGATGTATGATGTACGGTGTATGATGTACGGTGTACGGTGTATGATGTACGGTGTATGATGTACGGTGTACGGTGTATGATGTACGGTGTATGATGTACGGTGTATGATGTACGGTGTATGATGTACGGTGTATGATGTACGGTGTACGGTGTATGATGTACGGTGTATGATGTACGGTGTATGATGTACGGTGTATGATGTACGGTGTATGATGTATGATGTACGGTGTATGATGTACGGTGTACGGTGTATGATGTACGGTGTATGATGTACGATGTATGATGTACGGTGTATGATGTACGGTGTATGATGTACGGTGTATGATGTACGGTGTACGGTGTATGATGTACGGTGTATGATGTACGGTGTATGATGTACGGTGTATGATGTATGATGTACGGTGTATGATGTATGATGTACGATGTACGGTGTACGGTGTATGATGTACGGTGTATGATGTATGATGTACGATGTACGGTGTACGGTGTATGATGTACGGTGTATGATGTATGATGTACGGTGTATGATGTACGGTGTACGGTGTATGATGTACGGTGTACGATGTATGATGTACGGTGTATGATGTACGGTGTACGGTGTATGATGTACGGTGTATGATGTACGGTGTACGGTGTATGATGTACGGTGTATGATGTACGATGTATGATGTACGGTGTATGATGTACGGTGTATGATATACGGTGTATGATGTATGATGTACGGTGTATGATGTATGATGTACGGTGTATGATGAACGGTGTATGATGTATGATATACGGTGTATGATGTATGATGTACGGTGTATGATGTATGATATACGGTGTATGATGTATGATGTACGGTGTATGATGTATGATGTACGGTGTATGATATACGGTGTATGATGTATGATGTACGGTGTACGATGTATGATGTACGGTGTATGATGTATGATATACGGTGTATGATGTATGATGTACGGTGTACGATGTATGATATACGGTGTATGATGTATGATATACGGTGTATGATGTATGATGTACGGTGTATGATGTATGATGTACGGTGTATGATATACGGTGTATGATGTATGATGTACGGTGTACGATGTATGATATACGGTGTATGATGTATGAAGTACGGTGTACGGTGTATGATGTACGGTGTATGATGTACGGTGTATGATGTACGGTGTACGGTGTACGGTGTATGATGTACGGTGTATGATGTACGGTGTACGATGTACGGTGTATGATGTACGGTGTATGATGTACGGTGTACGATGTACGGTGTATGATGTACGGTGTACGGTGTATGATGTACGGTGTATGATGTATGATGTATGATGTATGATGTATGATGTACGGTGTATGATGTATGATGTATGATGTACGGTGTACGGTGTATGATGTACGGTGTATGATGTACGATGTATGATGTATGATGTACGGTGTATGATGTATGATGTATGATGTATGATGTACGGTGTATGATGTATGATGTATGATGTACGGTGTATGATGTATGATGTATGATGTACGGTGTACGGTGTATGATGTATGATATACGGTGTATGATGTATGATGTACGGTGTACGGTGTACGGTGTATGATGTACGGTGTACGGTGTACGGTGTATGATATACGGTGTATGATGTATGATGTATGATGTACGGTGTATGATGTACGGTGTATGATGTACGGTGTACGGTGTACGGTGTATGATGTACGGTGTACGGTGTATGATGTACGATGTATGATGTACGATGTATGATGTACGATGTATGATGTATGATGTACGGTGTATGATGTACGGTGTATGATGTATGATATACGGTGTATGATGTATGATGTACGGTGTATGATGTATGATATACGGTGTATGATGTATGATGTACGGTGTATGATGTATGATGTACGGTGTATGATATACGGTGTATGATGTATGATGTACGGTGTACGATGTATGATGTACGGTGTATGATGTACGGTGTACGGTGTACGGTGTATGATGTACGGTGTACGGTGTATGATGTATGATGTACGGTGTATGATGTATGATGTACGGTGTACGGTGTATGATGTACGGTGTATGATGTACGGTGTACGGTGTACGGTGTACGGTGTATGATGTACGATGTATGATGTACGGTGTATGATGTACGGTGTATGATGTACGGTGTACGGTGTACGGTGTATGATGTACGGTGTACGGTGTATGATGAACGGTGTACGGTGTATGATGTATGATGTATGATGTACGGTGTACGGTGTATGATGTATGATGTACGGTGTATGATGTATGATGTACGGTGTATGATGTACGGTGTACGATGTATGATGTACGGTGTACGATGTATGATGTACGGTGTATGATGTACGGTGTACGATGTATGATGTACGGTGTATGATGTACGGTGTATGATGTACGGTGTATGATGTATGATGTACGGTGTACGGTGTATGATGTATGATGTACGGTGTATGATGTATGATGTACGGTGTATGATGTACGGTGTACGGTGTATGATGTACGGTGTACGGTGTATGATGTACGGTGTATGATGTACGGTGTACGATGTATGATGTACGGTGTATGATGTACGGTGTATGATGTACGGTGTATGATGTACGGTGTATGATTTACGGTGTATGATGTACGGTGTACGGTGTATGATGTATGATGTATGATGTACGTTGTATGATGTACGGTGTACGGTGTATGATGTATGATGTACGGTGTATGATGTATGATGTATGATGTACGGTGTATGATGTACGGTGTATGATGTACGGTGTACGGTGTATGATGTACGGTGTACGGTGTATGATGTACGGTGTATGATGTACGGTGTATGATGTATGATGTACGGTGTATGATGTACGGTGTACGATGTACGGTGTATGATGTACGGTGTACGGTGTATGATGTACGGTGTATGATGTATGATGTATGATGTATGATGTACGGTGTATGATGTATGATGTATGATGTACGGTGTATGATGTACGGTGTATGATGTACGGTGTATGATGTACGATGTATGATGTACGGTGTATGATGTACGGTGTATGATGTACGGTGTACGGTGTATGATGTACGGTGTATGATGT